CCATTCCATGCATAACTGAGATCCGGGTTCGGAATGGTGAAAATGTGCGATTTCAATGCATTTTCGGCTTAAAGCGGCCGTCATTTGGCTATCGTTAATGAGATCATGAAACAAATGCACATACATATTTGTGACATGATGTACTTGTGTGTGTGAAGTTTGAACTCAATCAATCCAAGCATGTCTCAGATACGGATCCAGAACTGAATTCTTTAAAACAAAATGGCCGCCAGTCAGCCATTTCAAACCCGATCCAAAAAAAAAATGGCGTGCATCAAGGTCCTATTATGTTTAATGTATGTACCAAATTTGAACAAAATCCGTCCATGCATAACTGAGATCCGGGTCCGGAATGGTGAAAATGTGCGATTTTGATGCATTTTCGGCCTTAAAATGGCCGCTATTCGGCTATCGTTATTCGGATCATGAAAAAAATGCATGTGCATATGTCCCATATAATGTGCAATGTATGAGTGAAGTTTGAACTTAATCGGTCCATGCATGTTCGAGATACAGGTGATCACGAACGGACGGACGGAACGGACGTACACACGGATGCACACAGGGCAAAACATAAGTCCCCGTTTTCGGACTACGTCCGAACGGGGACTAAATATATTGAAATAAAAAAAAAATATGAAATAATTTATTTTACATTTGGTCAGTGATGTTTACAATATTTGTCATTCACACTTATATCTAGGGCCTTAAACATCTCAAAGTGGACTGCAATGTTCAGCAATATGCAGGAATTAAATTATTTGTACTGAAACCACGATAAATTCTCTCTTGTGTTCTATGACACAAAGTGTCAGTGACTTTCACAAATTATGTCTTAACGAATTCCATAAAATACTGAAATCGCAAAAAATTCTAGCAGTGAAAATTAAACAGTTCAGTATTGAGCTAAAATTTCTGTCCATGTATCAGCCGATATGCACAGTTGACTGTCCCTATGAACCTGTGCATGATCCTGTTATGCATGCTTACATTGAATAATCTAATAGGGCGTGCCAAGGAGCTGGATCCATCAATCGGTGTTCCTGTAATTGCAACTTGCACCAATTTCATTTTAAACCAATGTTGCTGTCTTATATCACGCCATAGCATAACTAACAAAATCATACAACTTTGTATTTGATTACTCATGGAAATGTGTCATAACATGTGTCTTCTTCCATTAATTGCATGTGCCACTGTGTTTGATTTTATCAATAGTGATTACAGACAATTCTACCAAGATATAATGGCTAGGTGACGGCCGAATAAATGAACCTTGGTTGGCAAAGATGCTTTCTGTCAAGCTATATCATAGAGATATTTTCATCCAAAATGTCCTTTAACAATTTATATTTGAAAGAGTTTTAAAAACAGTCCATAATGTTTCAAATATGTTTGCACAGTAATGACTTGCCTTAACTTGAATGTGTCTCGATTTCTTTCTTTTTATGAAGAGTATTTTATACATACAAGGAAAATCAGACTACAGGAGCATGACTCGATACTTACGGATGTTCAATCAGGCTTTCAATAGACCCAAGACTTGCAGCAGATATAATCAATTTAAGATTATTCATAAAATTGACGGCTTCTGTTTTGCCACCTTTGATTTTCAGTGCAATCATCCCACCAAAAGCAAACATTTGTTTTTTAGCTAACTCATGTTGTGGGTGTGACGGCAAACCTGTGAGAGATTATAATAATCATTTCGGACATATTATAATTTACACTACTATAAATATAGCATAGTAATTTTTTTTTTTTAAATAAACAACAATTATTGAGCCTCAATTTGAATTTCGCATAAAATAAAGCTTTTTAAATATAAAATATGGCAGGTGCAATGCATTTTAAGGTTGATCACTGCAGTGCAAACCTAATTGTCATTGAAATAAAATTTGGTTAGGTCGCTTCAATTGTCACATGTAAGATCAGTCCAGCATATGTTGAAGATAATCATCAATAGTACTGTTCAATTTCAACTAAAAGTTATATCTTTGAAATGCATAATCAAAATATGAATAAAACCATGATGATTTCTTACCTAAATAAAGAACTTCCTCAATTTTAGAGTTGAATTCTAAATACTTTGATATTGCCATGGCATTATGTTGATGTTTAGCCATTCTTAACGGTAAGGTTTTCAAACCTCTGTTTGCCACATAACAATCAAATGGAGATGGAATTGCCCCGGTAACTATAGCAAAACATAGAAAACTCTGTCAATGTATATATACAAACAAGATGGTTACCAGGTGGCCATATTGAATCAGATCACACAAATCAATAACTAACTAACATACATACGCATATGTAAGTAAACATGTTTATTTGACCCATATTAAACCCGAAATTTGAAAAGATGAGTCATGTGAGAACCAGTGTATTCCCCCTATCTAGTATGCAAAAACACATAAACTCTGAAATATATAGAAACAAGGATTTACAAAACTAAGGGTTTGCAACTTTCATAACCATGATATGCAATAAAGATCTCACGAGAAGCAAACTATTGACTTTGCAAGTTTGAGAGTGATCCCATTCTGTGCACATCAATCAAACTTTGTTCTCACCAATAGCATCACAAAACCAGTGGACGCTTGGAATTCAAAAATACAAAATGCATGTGTTACAAACTTTGCAAGTTAGCAAGAACACTATCAAAATACTGTAAATACTTTATTTTTACTTGAAATAAATTTTCGCTATTTTGGCTGAAGGAATGATTCTTTATTTTAAAAAATACTTTATTTTAGCTGGAATAAATTTTCGCTGAAAAGAAATTTTGGGTGTTTCGTATGGAATTTATTTTCACTGATTTCTGACAAGTTGAATGTTAAATATAGGAAAAAAGGTATATTCGTTGGATTTTAGTTTCACTGAATCATTCCTTGAGCGAAAATTAATTCCAAGTGAAAATAAAGTATTTTTCAGTTCCTTCATCTTCTAAATCCTTCATATTGATAAATAATCAATCCTGCATTCAACTTTAATTTTCAGCTACATTCCAGTGACTAACCTTTTTGTAGAAACTTGATTTTCTCGTAGAGATCATCTCGGTTGGTGACCACACCGCCCATAATTACATCTGTGTGACCATTGATGTATTTGGAGACTGAATGCATCACTAGATCAACTCCAAGCTCTAGGGGGCGCTGTTCATAGATACAAGATCAAGCAAGTTGCTTTATGCATTTAAATCAAAAAGATTGTTTTGTTCTGGTTGCTGCTCCCTTTTTTGAGGCAAATTTTCATAAATCTGAATAAAATAGTGTTGTACTATGAGATCATTCTTAAAGCCTAATACATGTAATGTTTTAAGACTATAATGCACATTGTGTAGTTGATGACCAAAATTAGCAAAAAATAGTGGAAAATAAAAAACATTTAATTTTTAAGGATTTTAAAATGATTTTGGCAATCATTTTGTTTTTTAGTCACCAAAACCTTGTTAACAGAGCTATGAGACTTGGTTTTTCTCAATATCACGCCTACTGTTCCACTGATCTATGATACTTGCAGCAATGGTCTCAATGACTATTTGAGGTGCAAATCTTGTTACTTTCTCATTCTCAACAAGACTACTGTAGCTATCTGTATCCAAGGCACAGTGGAAAAATTAAAGGCAAGAAGATACCAGGTAATTAATTTGAGTGTAAACATTTTTAAAGAGAGATAACTATTTGTGAATTAAGCAAATGTATTTTAAATATTGAATTATCAAACCTCAAAAATTCCTAAGAGCAAGGATGTGGTCAAACCATGTACACAAATATTAGAAAAAAAATTGTACTACATGCCCACTGGATCTTCTTTACATTTACATACCTGACATGCTGGTGATGCAAATGTGCTGTCAATTATTACGAAGACGTCTTTAAACTGATGGACTGTGTCAGCTATGCGACGAATATCAACTATATTGAGTAGAGGGTTATTTGGAGACTCTATCAGAACCATCTGATGAAAGAAAAAAAAAAGACGATTAATCTTAATCTCCTTGTCCGTTTCAGTATATGCAATGATACAGGGTGGACCATTATTATTGTAGGGGTCTTTATGAAATTATGAACCCTGACTTCAGCAAATTACAATTCTGCAAGCCTTGGGTTGATTGAGCACTGTAAAGAAGGTGACACAACATACATAGGGTGTGGATGTTATGTACCAAAGCACTCTTCAAATCAAAAAAGAAATGGCAATTGAATTCACAACAGACATGATCAGTATTCCATGAGATGACTAATAATTAGTTCTGTGTTCAATGGGATGCATGTCTTGTATCTATCTGAAATCAAAGTCATTTAAGTTGAACACATGGGTGCTCATATACTTTCTGGATTTTTATTGCAGGCTAAGTGCCCAAAAAACTATTCCGCTACCTTAATAATTGAACAAGATTTCAA